CATCAACGACAGGACTCGCCTGTCCCGTTTACGGGCACTGCCTCATCGGAAAAGGCCAACAGTTCCACAGGACAGGGAGGTTTGCGCTCTGGCCTCCATGGCCAGGGCACCACCGGGCTGAGAACAGTAACCACCAGGTAAACAGAAGAGCCAGGACTGGTGCCAAGTGGGAAAGAAACAGAAGCGCCACAGATTTTTAAATTACAAAGCAGGGAATGAGCAAGGCCAGCAAAAGGATGGAACAGTTGCACAGCAAGTCCTGAGGGGTGACGAGGGAACAGGCGTTTCCTAACTTCCCTCCGACCCTGGGCACGCCTGCCCAGAGTGAGGGACGCCACTCAGCTGCAGCCTGAGGACTGTGGCAGAGGGCAGAGGCCAGGCTCTGCGTGCTGCCCGCCCACCAGCCCTGGGGCCCGGGCTACCCACCAAGCTGCCAAGGACTGCTCTCCCCCCACCACACACACACACACACACACACACACGCTCTGCACACCTGGCAACCCTTCCATGTGGCACTAATAACAGCATTCAGAAAAGGGGGACTCTGAATTATCACATTCACAGTGACTCTGTCTTGGTTTGGGTTTTGGTCTTTTCAGACAGGGCCTTGCTATATATTCCACCAGGCTGGCCTTGAACTCAGGCAATCCTCCTGCCTCAGCCTCCCACATGCTAGGATTACAGGATTGTGCCACCACACCCGACTTCATGGTGACATTTATAAGAAAAAACTAAACACTGTACCACTCTTACTCCACACACATCGTGAGTCCCCACCCCACCCCTCAAAAAAGCAATGGCACAACATTCCCTCCTGGGGAAATTAAACTTAAAAGAGTGTAACAGCAGCAACAAAGGAAGTATAACTGTGCGTTCCAGCTCTTATCAAAAACCAAGAATTTTAACTCACTTCCCTCTTTGTCTTAGGTAACCAGTGTCTAAACATTTCGGGGACAGTAATATAACAGCTAACATTTCTAGTGCTTCTTTTTAATTCAAGCCAAGTCTCCTCTAATTAAATACATAAGCAATTAACCATTGTTCTCTCAAAAAGAACAAAGAGCTCTAATTAACAAATGAAAATTAAATTTCCTCTTAAAAGAATTTTGTTGCACCAAAATTATCCAACAAGCTTTTGTTGAGGAATGAATAATAAAGCCAACCGTTTGTTTTTTGAACCTTACATTTTTAAATACAACATATGCCAGGTGTCAGTTCAGCACCTGTAATTATACAATTATGCAAACTCAAGAAAAAACTGGAGTTGATTAGATGCAAATATACAAATTAACTTTCCCCTCTAAGCACGGGGTAGCTCTCAGGAAGCTGGTTTCTGAGTCTGCACTTTCTCAGGCTCCCTGGCCCATAGTCCTGGCAACTGCCTCAGGTCCCTGGGATCAACTCAGCTGTGGGGAAAGCGCCCCCTGCTGTCACATCCCCAGCACTGTCGGGGAAGTCTGGAGACCCCCAGGGCCCAAGTCAGGGTGTTTTAATGGTAACAGCCACCAGAGGACACCCTGGGGTTGGCAGCATCACACCTCCTGGCACGGGCACATCTACAGCTGAAATCTGCACCCCTGGGCTCCAGGCTCCAGGTCTCTGAAATGCCAAGCCAGCTCAGAGTCAGCACAGACACCCTTTCTTACATGCAGCATGCCCAGAATGTCCGGCCAGCTCTCCTGTGCCTCTGTCTCCTCTCTCCCCTGGGCATTTGTCTCTGCCAAGGTTGAGGGGACGCCTGAGGTATACCTCCATGTCCAGGAGGCAGACTGGCCTGTGGGGAAAAGGAGACCACAGCATCACAGGAAACCTCAGAGCACATCAGGAAGGCGACTGAGGCCTCTAGGCCCGGCCCCTCTCCCCATGCGCCCCACTGCAACCCAGGACGAGGGAAGGTCTGTGGCCAAACTGCCCAGAAAGTCGCATACGTTAAAGCTGTTAAAAACACCCAGAACAAATGAAAGTGTCCACCTCATTCAGCAAGGCGCTACAATGTGCCTGACGAGAAACCCTTTCCCTCGAGTAATACTTACAATCCCAGAGCAAAGCTAGTTTTCCTGGGAATCGCAAGCAAAGTAACATAATAAAGCTAATACTGCCTTTACAACAGGGCTACACAGGCATTACAGCAAACTCTCTTCACAGTTTTCTTTCCAACACGGAGGTGAGGAAGGGAAAGGGTTGCACCAGATCCTCCTGCCACATTCAGCAAGGCAGGTGACTTCTTGGTTTCTTCTTTGCCAATGCTGGGTGTCGAACCCAGGGCTCCCACATGCTGGGCAAGTGACCTACCACTGAGCTGCACTGCCAGCCCTCAATTTTATTTTCTGATTGACACATGACATTTGTACATTTTTATGAGACACAATATGTCAGCCTGCATCATACACAAGTCAAATCAGGTAATCAGCACAGCTGACACCTTAAACCTCCATCATTTCTTTATGATGAGCACATTTAAACTTTGAATATGAGAAAAAGTGGGAAATAAGTTAAGCAAAAGAGCATCTCAAGAGTTTAAAAAAGGAGAAATAAAACAACATGAACCTGCTAATGCCACAGACTTCTACACTTCCTGGTTTAAAAAGGCCAAATTTATGTAATATTTATCTTTACCTAAAAACCACAGATTTTTTTTTAAGAGTGAAAGCACCAGGCATGGTGGTACATGCCTATAATCCCAGGTGATCCAGAGGTGGAGGCAGAAGGACCGCACTCAAATGGCTGGCCTGGGCAACGCAATGAGAACTTGTCTCAAGATAAAATAAAATAAAAAAGGACTGGAGGTGTAGGACTGCGGTGAAGTGCTTGCCTAGCATACACAAAGTCCTGGGAGGGAAGGAAGGAAGACAGGAGGAAAAGAAGGGAGGGAGAGGGAATACAACTTTATTGTTCCGACAAAGGTAGAAGAAAGGCAGTAACTCCCACCCAGCAGAAAGTTTAAACTATCTCATCAACAACCTAGAAGAGAAATATTTTACATTACGACTAGGTACTACCTATAAAATAACAGTCAAATGTTAAAATTAGTGGACTATCACTAACTCTAGATGGAGTGAGAAACCCACAGCTTTCAATGCCTTGGGAACGACACAAGAAACAAGCGAACCATGTACAAAAAGCACGTAAGTAAGAGGCTGGGCAGAGAACTGGGGACTTCTCTCCCGCCTCGTCCCTGCCTGTTCCACCTCGGTGAGCGCACGGCAGGTGAAGACGTCTGTGGGCACCGACAGAGCTGTGCAGAGCTGGACCACACCAGGGAGGGCTGTGTGTGACAGGACCCGGGGCAGAGGACTTCCACCGGCCGCTCTTAGCTCACTTCACTCGGGCTGTCCTGCTCTGCTGTCTCCCCAGTGTCTGCCTTTCAGGCTCGTATCAGCTACTTCTCCTCAACCCAGGTACAGAGACATTCACAACCAACACCCCCAAGGGGTAAACTCAAAATGCTGATTCCAAAAGCCACACGCAAGTGAAAGGAGAAAGACTGCTAAGAAAGGCTCAGAGGGGGTTTATCTCGATAGGAAAACACTTCCCCTATATTAAAGAAACCACTAAAAATCAGGGCTATGTAAACTGTGAGGCAAACAGCCAGAGAAACCAAGGGAGCAGAGGAAGCAGTGTTCACAGTGACCAGAGCCAGGGGGCGCTGCCGAGCAGCGGAGAGGACAGACACCCAGACTGGGATTTAAGGCCCAGCTCCACTTCAGGAAGGAAAGCCAGACCCAGATCTGCAAAAACATTCATAACTGCTTTTCAACCATATGCATTTTGTTTTGGGGTTTTTTGTTTTGTTTTGTTTTGTTTTTTGGTACGTACCAGAGATTAAACTTGGGACCTTACCCTTGTGAGGAAGGCAGCGGCACCACTGGGCTAAATCCCTGGCCCCATAACTGCTTTACAAATATAAGGTTTTCAAAAATTCCAGAGTTTAGAAGTTCCCATTTGTGAAAAATACAGACTTGCCCTTCATTCCAAGGCAATACAAAGTATGTTACTAAAATACAAAACCGGTCACCTGCTTGCAGTTATTAAAGGTCATTAAATAACAACACACACGATCATCACACGTCAGCCGATGAAAGATACCAACCTCAGGGTTTGTAAGTGACGAATCTTTACTAGGCCAAAACTTAAGTTTTAAAAATTATAGACAAGAATGTTGAGGATCCCTTCACACTACAAAGGGTCCTGAGGAGGCTCCTCCCTCCTCGGGTGTCTGCTTTGTTCTTTGCATTTACACAGCTGGTATCTCACACTTCCTGTTTTCATCCTGTCCCCGAAGTGAGGCCGGTGTGCAAGCAGGCTGCACCTTCCACGTACTTGTGCCCTCAGTGCTCATGCGAGGCCCTCGACATAATCCGGGATGGCTGATAAGGTGTGACGTGTGGTGCTGGCCAAGGGTCACAGACCCACCCGCTGGGACCCCAGCAGGAGGCTCATCCTGGTGGTCTCCGCGTCACTCCCCGAGGGGCGCTCCAGCCCCCAGCTCTGCCGTGGGTCACACAACCAAAGACGACAAAGCGCAAACGCTGAGGGCCGGCCTCTCAGGCCGAGTCACGCACAGGGGCTAACCTGGAAGATCACCTCATAATGAACGCAGCTCACTGTTAAATCGGCGGCCCTGGCCAAGCCTTCCCTTCTCTGAATTCAATGTTTTTTTTTTAATGGTACTGGGGATCGAACTCCGGTCCTTACACTTGCGAGGCAGGGTCCGGAACCACTGAGCTAAATCCCCAGCTCCTCTGAATTCAAAATGGTGCCTGACAAGGTAATGAGTTGCCGGGCTGCAGAGAAGCACTGATGGGGGTGGCGAGGAACACAGTTATTAAAGCTGCTGCTATAGGTATCAGCGGTCATCTTACAACAGCCATGTATCAAGTGAACGCAAGGCGGGTCTACCTCCACCGCAGGCAGCTGCTCCAGATGCGGGGCCACACAAATCAGCAGCATTGCCAACAGCTCAAAGAGCTGCGGGCATCACAGACTGGGCACAGCCTTACCCCTTCCCGCAGGCACCTCAGCAGCACGGTGTACGTGGCCAGGGGGATGGCCCAGCATGGTCGGGGAAGCTTGCTCTTCTCTTCCTAAAATGAAGCCAAGGAAAGACAGTAAAGTCAGGAGCACAGAAAGACCCACTCAAGAGCACAGCAGCCACGAGAAACTTCTTAGTTTTCTGCTTAAATCACACACACTCCCGACAACGGTGTCACACTGGGCCATGCACTGCTCCCACGTTCCCCTCAGGAGCCAGGTGGAAAGGCCTGCCAAGGAACGGTGCAGCCGCCCGGAGGAGCCCGGTGACACTGGTGTCTCCCCTGTAAAGCACAATTGGCTGCAGAGGTCGAGCTTGGACTCCCAGCCTGGAGTCGCACTCAGGACAAGGCATCCACACGGGCAGGGGAGCAGCCTGCAGCCGAAACACGCAAATATGATTAGCAGGTCCGCTGAGCTTAATGACAGCAGCAGTAATTCCTTCACAGAAAATTAAGTAAGTTAGTAACATAAGCTCAAGGGCTGTGCAGAAAAGTGAAAACAGCAATCTTTCCCAGCAGAAGGAAGTTGGTCCTATTACTGAAAATATGCAAGATTGTCCACTGACAGACCTGGCGCACTACGGATCAAAAGTATTTCAGGCTTGTGACGAGAATTCTGACCACTTCAAACTCCAACCTCCTAAGCAATAAAATCCTGCTCTGGTCATCTCCTATGGAGGAGGCTGGCGTGGTTATGCTTAGAAGCCGCTCCAGCTCAAAACACATTAATTCAGAGACAAAGTTAACTTCGAAACCCAAGTCCCTTCCCATCCGCTCACCTACTCAATACCACTCAACCATTCCCAGCTGTGGGTTCTTCCAATACTGGCCACTCATTCTGGGCTCCTCTTCACTGACTCCTGCCCAAACCTGCATCTCTTCCCCTGTGCTATGTGTGGCCTTACTCCAGAGCCGAGCCCAGAGGCGGCGCGAGCAGCTGGGCTCCAGCAGGGGGCACCAGAGAGCGGAGAGCGCCAGGGCTTCCAGCCAGCAGCTCCTGGCCACCTCCTTCCTCCCCGCTAGCCTGCTGTCCTCACCAGGGGAGCAGCAGCCTACCACAGGACGCCCCCACGCCCTGCTCCTGGGTTCAGGACCACCCCCCTCTCCAGCTCCTGAGTCCCTGGGTCCTCCCCTCCACACTCCCTCACTCAACCCACCTCCCTTCCTCACCAGTACCAAAGCCCAGTCAGCCAGCTGACTTGCCCTGATTTTGTGGCTCACCTACATTCACAGACTGTCCACAAGGACCCTCACCTTGCCGAAGGCCATTTTCATAGGTCCGGGACCCCACATCCTGGGCTGGACAGCTCCCTAGGACATGTCCAGGGTCCCAGAACCGCCCCTCTGTGGAAAGAGTCTGGCTGCACCCAGTTAAAGTTCACAGCAAGGGAAGGGGTCTCAATCTGCGCAGAGCCAAAGGAGTAGGAGCCTTCAGGCTATTTACATAAAGCTACAGAAAAGCTAAGGAGTTCACAGGACAGCAGTCAGCCACTACTGAGAGCGCTGAATCCTGGGAGGTGAAAGGCTTGCTATCTCCATTGTGGTGATGGCTTCACGGGTATATGTACATGTCAAAATGTGCCAAATCGTAATCTTTTCTTAAAAATATGTGCAGTTTAGCTGGGCACGGTGGTGCACACTGGGAGGCTGAGGCAGGAGGATAGAAAATTCAAGTCTAGCCTGGGTAACTGAGTGACTTAGAAAGATCCTGTCTCAAAAATTTAAAAATTGTTTGAAAGAGCTTGTGAGGTAGCTCAGTACAAAAGCCCTAGGTTCAATCCCCAGCACTACAAATAAAGTTTTTAAAGGGCCAAGGACGTAGCTCGGTGCAAAGGCCCTGGGTTCAATCCCTAGAACCACAAAGAAGTATAAATTACTGTGTATTAATTATACAATTAAATGAAGGGAGGGCAAATAAAACAAGCAAGATGAAACACCTGGACCCCCTCCTCCTGTTTCTGATGAGACAGCAGACTAAGGACCTGACTGACAGTCCTCCAAATCACAGTACCTGGTTTGACTCTAACATTCTTACAGTGCCTCCAAGATGTGACAAGAACAGGAAGAGTCAGGCCAAAGTCAGACAACCAAGAGCAGGGATGAGCTGAGTACTGGCGCTGACTTCATTCTAAAGGTCTAGGCACTGAGTCTGATGCCAAGGCCTTGAGGACCAAGGCAAAGGCCGAGGGAAACCGAGCCCCAGTCCCAAAGACCCACAAGGAGAGTGCTGTTCAGCAGAGTAGCCTGGGACCCAATGTGGGTGCTGCATCTCCACACAGTGAGGATGGGGGACACGCTCTGGCAGACACACACATCCATGGGACGAGCAGGAAGCAGCTCCCGTGTGCACATTCCAGCCACTGTGCCTGGCAGCGTGCAACTCCCCCTCCCGCCCGGGGCGGGCAAGTTTCTACCCACTGTACAAAAAGAGACAAAATAAGAACCTACATTTCATACATACAAAATGAACTCTGCAAATACAAGTACTCATAATGGTTACTTTGGGAAGAACTAGGCAGATGTGGTCCAAAAATGGGAGAAAGACTTTTCCCTGTGAACCTGTCTTCACGTCTAATTTTCCAGATTCATGAATATACTGGCTCTTCAAGACATAAATTTACCTAAGAAAACTTCAAACCAAGATAGATACCAAAAGCTTTCTGAGTGGTATGAAATAACAGTAGTGGAAATGTTCTTAATATATAAATATATTCCAACACTGTCTTTTGTGCACTGGAGGACTAAATATCATAGAGATATTTCATAAATATCATAAAGAAGAAATTCCTAACTGATACACAGATGTAGTACCATTCCAGATATTCAGTAGAAGCCTAAAATCAAAAAGAGAGCAGCTCTTCTCAAACTTATCTGCGTAATCAGAGCAGCTTTTTTCAAGATGATATACAGAATTAGGCTGATTCTGAAGTTCATCCTAAGACTCCAAGGACCAAAGTATTAGGCCAAGACACTGATGCAAGAGAAGAACAGTGAATTACTACTAATCACTGCTAATTACAGATCTGGGCAAGAAAAACTGCTCTAGAGCAGTTGTGGCAGCTGCCTCAAAGTGATCATTGCCCAGAAAGCTGGTTTAGTTCAGATACTAAGAACACTCAGAATATGTAACATCTGAGCAACTTTGAGCCCAAAGCTTAAGGAATACAATGAGAGAACTTCCTTATGCATTTAAAACCCATTGGTATCTATTCAAAGCTCTCAGGGTATCACATGATAGCACTAGCCTATGAATTACCAGTAGCATCCTTTAACATGTGCACGATGGGACTGCAAACCGTATGCCTGGCTGCCAGGCGGCTCTGAGCCACCGGAAGTACATGCATAAGGTGGCGGCTTGTGCCACCCAGCGGAACAGCTATGTTACCACATAGTTCAAGGCGGCAAGAACCAGTTATTAGAGGTTTTCCCTGTTGAACTCAATTGCAGCTCCATACTGTAACTTGAGAAATAAGAAGTCAAATCCTGCCTCACAAATCCCACAGTCACATAAAAGCTGCATTTGCACAAAGAAGGTTTTACTGAAATGGGAACAGGGCATTTATCCTGGGAGCCCCACTGGTCTCCTTCTGCCTGAAGGAGGCAAAGATGGTGACACTTTGGGGGCTCTCAGTCCTTCGGTTTGGAGATGTATCCTGAGAGTATCCCACACTTATGGGAAAGCAGGCCCAGAGGGAGGGAAGAAAAGAGACGGGATGAGACAGGAGGAGAAAGACATGGAAAACTCCCTTCCCTGGAAGTGAAACTTCTCCTGTGCTCCCTGGCCGTGCTCCAAGGGGCCAAGTCAAGAAGTGTTACACCAACACCCAGCACCGGGCCATGTTGGGGCGTGTCAGGACGTGTGTCAGGATGTGTCAGAGAGCAGCAAAGTGGTCAGTCTCACTCACCTGGGTGGCCACGAGGTACATCAGCTCCCCGAGGGCTGGTAAAAGGCACTGTTTCAATTTGCTGTTCCTGAAATTCTCCCTAATCAATTCGGTTAAGAGAGTAATTGCCTGAAAGAGAAAAAATACATTAGTTTGGGTGTCTCCCTCTCAATTCTTTCACCTCTGTGTTAAGAGCAAGACACTAAAGCTCACCTTCCACTTTTAAGAACTGGTTTCCAAACTATTTTAAAGTATGGGCCTTATCCTGGAAGAAAAATACAGTAGCTCTCCTAGACAATGATAAAGACACATATACACTGAAATAAAGTCAAACAGCACCTTCAATAAGTAAATTTTCTATACTTCATTTGAACTAGTAAAATGATGACACCAGAAGACTATAAGTTAGGTATATATCCTACATGCGAGGCAACCTTCCCACCTCTCAGGAAGCAAACAGAGGCTGAGAAGGTCCTCGTGGCTCCCGGGACACAGAGTCAGCTCATGGGGCATCTTGGCCCTGCATGCGACTCTCAGGGTGTGACACCAGGCAATATCCTCACAGCACCTCACACTTCCACACGGTTCCTTCCAAAGTCTGAGGGTAGGGACGTTATGCCAAAGCTCCCTTATAAGCCACTCTGAAATCTGGCAGCTGATTTCCCAGTAGTGGCACTAAAATCACACGCATCCTGAAAGTGGAGACACTGACATGAATACAGGTTCATCAAATTGTGAAGGACAGAAAGGTTCAGGACCATACGTGCAGAACAGTGCCGCTCAGAAACCAGCTCATCTGTTTTGCTGTTGTTACTGTTTTTGGTAGTGCTCAGGATTGAACCCAAGGCTTTCACACTGACCTACGTCCCCAGCCCTTTTATTTTTTATTTTTAGTTTTATTTTGAGACAAAGCTGTCCAGCCTGAGCTCAAACTTGTGATCCTCCTGCCTTATCCTGCCTTGGGGCTGGGACTATAGGCATGCACCTCAAAAACTTAGAAACTCATACTTAGAAATCTCAATTTTTTTTTTTTTTTTTTTTT